AGATAGATAGATAGATAGATAGATAGATAGATAGATAGATAGATAGACAGACAGACAGACAGACAGACAGACATCTGTCTGCCTGCCTGCCTACCTACCTACCTCAAAATTTTTACACCTATTGGAGCAAATTCTCAAATTTCTACACCTACCTAGCTATTGGAGCAAATTCTGGAGCACAGAAGTGTAAAGTACACAGTAAGAAACAGAATTATTCTTAATTTTTATCAACAATAAAGATTCCACTTTACTTGGGTCATATCAGGAACCTTCCATAAAACCTAGTCAAAAGCTAGTACTACTGATTCCAGGTGTGAATCTTGAGAGAATGGAGAAAATTTTATGTATGGTCATAACTGGTGGATCATAAGCTTCCTAGGAGACAGGAAGCAGCAGGTGAAGCAAGGCAGAATCACATCTGATACCTGTACAATTAACACAGGGCTCCCCCAAGGCTGCGTGCTTTCTCCACTTCTCTTCTCCCTATATACCAATGACTGCATCTCAAACAATCCATCTGTTAAAATATTGAAGTTTGCTGATGACACAACAGTGATTGATCTCATTCGAGACAACAACGAATCCACCTACAGACAGGAGGTTATACAACTTGCCTCGTGGTGTAACCGGAACAATCTGGAACTGAACATACTCAAAACCATAGACTTTGGTAGACTTTAGAAGAAACCCTCCCATACTACCATCTCTTACAATACTAAACAACACAGCGTCAACAGAAGAGACCTTCAAATTTCTAAGTTCTACCATATCACATGACCTAAAATAGACACCTAACATCAAAAATGTCATCAAAAAAGCACAACAAATAATGTTCTTTCTGTACCAACTCAGAAATCTCAAACTGCCCAAGGAGCTGCTGCTATAGTTCTGCAGAGGAATTACTGAGTCTATCAGCTGCACCTCTATAACTGTCTGGTTTGGTTCTGCAACCCAACAGGACAGACACAGACTTCAGAGGATAATTAGGACTGCAGAAAAAAAACAATTACTACCCACCTGCCTTCAATTGAGGACTTGTATACTGCATGAGTCAAAAAGAGGGCTGTGAAAATATTTACAGACCCCTCACATCCTGGACAAAAACTGTTTCAATTCCTTCCCTGAAAACGACGCTATAGCGCACTGCACACCAGAACAAGACACAAGAACAGTTTTTCCCTGAAAGCCATCACTCTGCTAAACAAATAATTCCTTAACACTGTTCAACTATTACAAAGTCTGCACCACTATTACCGTTAATCATCTCATCACTCCTTATCCCCTCCCATTTGTGACTATATGACTGCAACTTTGTCGCTTGTATCCTTACGATTTATATTGACTGTTTCCTAGTATGATTTGATTGCTTATTGTACCCCATGACTATCATTAAGTGTTGTACTTTATGATTCTTGACAAATGTATCTTTTATGTATACCGAGAGTATTTGCACCAAGACAAATCCCTTGCGTGTCCAATCACACTTGGCCAATAAAGAATTCTATTCTTACAATTCTAACTGGTGAAAAATAAAATGAGACTGGGGAGTTTCTAAAGAATCCTGGACTTCATCTCTGGTTAGCAGCAGAGCTATCCTAACTCTAAATTCCAGGGTTATTTTGATCAAAAACTAATCTCTTTTATTGTCAGTGTTGATTGGATTTAATTGTTTATACAACACATAGTTTCATTTTAACCCAGTCATAGAATGGTCAGTAGACAGATCATAGACAAAATAGCCTGATGGGGTAAAACGGCAATCCAGTAATTATATCATGAAACACCAAAACTGAACTACTTTAAACAAAAACAATCTTAAGCCTGAGATTTGTTTGAGGTGCCCTACATGAGTATGCTATGTTGCTACTGTTTTTTCTTCTTCTTCTTTTTCATTAAGGACAATGGTTTCTGGGCAATAACTGTGAATGCATTTTAATTCCCAGTGGCCATTAGAAGAGATCTGGAGAACTGAGTGATAACATACAGTAATTACTTTTTATGGTGTGAAAGATGAATATTTTCCCCCCCTCCCCAAGCTCCTTTCCCTTCCACATTCACTACTGCCAGTCTGACTACATAACTCGACCAGGGCAAAGCAATAGACGCAATCTACATAGACTTCTGTAAAGCCTTTGATTCAGTGGTACACGACAAACTACTAAAATTAAAATTTTATGGTATCTCTGGACAACTGCAGAACTGGATAGAAGCATTCCTGTCAAACAGACAACAAATGGTCAAAATTGAGAGTGTCCTATCAAATTCTGTACCTGTCAATAGTGGTGTCCCCCAAGGCAGTGTTCTAGGACCAACTCTCTTCATACTCTACATAAATGACCTCTGTGATCATATTAAGAGCAACTGCGTTCTTTTTGCTGATGATGTAAAGCTGTTCAATATCACAGACAATACTGCTACTCTTCAAAAAGATCTTGACTATGTATCAAAATGGTTAAACAAATGGCAACTTCAAATCTCAACAAATAAATGTTCTGTCTTACATATTGGCAAAAAAAATCCGAAAATAAAATACAAGCTGAATAGTCAAGATCTTGTTGATGATCCAAGCTCTGTAAAGGACCTTGGAATACTCATCTCTAATGATCTAAGTGCTAGAGCCCACTGTAACTACATAGCCAAAAAGGCATTAAGAGTTGTTAACCTAATCCTACGTAGCTTTTTCTCTGGTTATATCACACTACTGACTAGAGCATACAAAACATTTGCTAGACCAATACTTGAATATAGCTCATCAGTCTGGAACCCACATTACATATCTGATATTAGCACAGTTGAGAAAGTCCAGAAATATTTCACAAGAAGAGTTCTCCATTCCTCTACTCGTTGCAGAATATCCTATTCCACCAGACTTGAAATTCTAGACCTAGAAAACCTTGAATTATGCCGTCTTCGGTCTAAGTATGGTATATAAAATCCTACATTGCAATGTCCTATCTGTCAATGAATACTTCAGCTTCAACCATAACAACACAAGAGCACACAATAGATACAAACTCAAGGTTAACTGCACCAAATTTGATTGCAGGAAATATGACTTCAGCAACAGAGTGGTCAATGTCTGGAATACTCTACCTGACTCTGTGGTTTCTTCCCCAAACCCCCAAAATTTTAACCTTAGACTGTCTACTATTGACCTCATCCCTTTCCTAAGAGGTCTGTAGGGGGCATGCATAAGCGCACCAACGTGCCTACCATCCCTGTCCTATTGTTTCTTTCATTTTTCTTATATGTACCCATTTCATGTATTCATAACTATGTATATACTTATATGTTGTGATTGGAAGGATCGGCCTGGCTCGGAACTTTGAATCTAATGACTGTTAGAGCGTGAATTGACGTCAGAACCAGGAAACGTAATCTGATTGGCAAGCCAGCTAATTAGCACGTTGCCTTGATGAGTATAAAAGGACACAGCTGAGCTTGCGCCTCTCGCCAGGAACAAAATGATTAATGATTACTTGGGATGAAGACGTTTTAGTTTGAGAGCCTTCGGTTTCTTTGAGTTTAAAAAAGAGCTCTGTCTGTTTGACTTTTGAAGAGGAGCCCTAACAGTTCCTGTCAGCAGTTATAGTTTGATTTGATTGTGAAATGGCTGCTTTCCGTTTGTTCGTTTGAATTTCCAAGAGGGGACATAACACTTATACCTATTATCTTGTAAGCAATTGACAAATCAAATAAATAAAATAAATAAATGGTGAATATGCAGCTGCCTTGGGCCAAAGATCAGTGAACACCATCCTTAAATTTTTCCACACAAAGCGAGGATACTATGTTCCTGCCACAATTAAGTTTTTTCTGGCCAAGTTACTAACACAGCTTCTTTACAGGACCTTGCTTGGACTCTCAGCTTCGTGTTTCACACCATTGGAAATTGTTCAATCCAAATTTATTAGAGCAATTCTCCAGATTCCACATTGTTTCTCAAATGC